CCATAATTCCTGTTCCCACACTCCTAGCAGCAGCAGATACCAGTACCCTAGCATTGCTGTGTTCAGTTTTCTCCAAGCTCAAAGCAACTGGCCATTATTTATATGCAGATGTTTCAGTTGCCACTTGTTAACGAAAATGAGAAAACTTCTCACCCAAGGTATTTTGTAGTTTATTTTGGCTCCTAGTTTTTGAAGATGGCTATTGGGTGTACAGGAAATTTGTGCAGGCCTGCTATATAAATGAATAAATAAATAAATAAATATGTATATATAAACCAACATAACAGTACCTCAGTGACCTGTGAATGATCCACTGTTTTATATTAGAAACACAGTGTTTCAGAAACTAGCTCTAACACAGGCAAATGTGACCTATCTGATAGATCCAGTGGAATGAACTAGTCTCAACATTACTAGAACAGGACTAGCTAGTGCACTAAGACAGACACATAGCCAGCTTCCAAAAACCTTACACAATAATAATGTACAAATATAAAATCTGTAACAGGCCTTCATCAAAAAACATTTCAAAATTAATAACATAATAACAGTATCCCACATAAACATACCACAGTACAACAATACTTCACCTGACAAACCTCACAATGCCAACTATCTTGTTTCCACACACAAAAATAAAGTGTGAACTCGTATTTCTTACTCATTCTGGTTACAGAACACAAAATGTAAAAGAAAAAGAAGTGCATCAGGTGTGTAAGGCACTTACAAAACAAAATCAACTCTACAGGGCTCATGCAGACTTGCCAGAGTTCCTTAATATTCACACTGAATGTTCTGAACAATGAATATATTTCCACACCTGGCTCTTCAATTCTCAGGATAAAAAAATTCACTTCTCTTTAGGAAGCTCAATAACAAGACAACTCATAATGAATTCACTGAGCACATAATCAATATGACACATTTGTATCAGTACCCTACTCATCATAATTACAAATCATCACACTGTACCATGTGACCTCCCAAATACCACAGCAGCATGGATGTCCAACAAGATGAAAATTCCTCATCTATGAACACATTCATGATCCATCATGCCCTGACTACTAGTATTCATTTAAACCAACAGAAAAGAGTAATGCCCAGCACACAGCCATCTGAGGAGTTTCTAACTCTGTCTCTTCAAGCACAAACACCAGGTTCATTAAACTGGCACAAATATGGACACTTCTCTATCATCTCATTTTGCTTAAAGAGAGCCGTTTTGGAAGCTGGCCTGACTCTGCTTCCACTGTCAAGTATAAGCAAGTGTTAGGTCCATCATATGGAGCTGATCGCTGTTCCTGCCTGGCATTTCTTTAACCAAAATGGGAAAATGGAAAATGTTCAACACATGTCAGTCAAATGACACGTCCTCATTATGAACTCTTATGCTAACATCTCAAGTAAAAATCCTAGAACGTGTAACTTCCCTCATGCATATATATATGAACAGAACTGCACCAAACAAGCATGGATCCAAACATTCTAAAACTCCATCCCTCTTCTACGTGTGTTAACACTTTCTCATCCTCCTCCTCTTCAGCCCCCTCCTATCAACTACACTTGTGCAAAATTAGGGGGCGACACTTCAGTACACTTTATGTACAGCAAAACTCTGCCATCTGTAGTTCCTGTGTGTAAACTACCAGGTTAGATGTCAATGAACATAAAGAGGCAAAGACATATCATTCCAGCATTTGATCATAATGTGGCATTAAATTCATGAAGGTGGTCACAAAAGGCTCAAACAATAGAGCTGCAGGCTAAAGTTACAATTTTGGAAGCCCTTACTGACAGACAGGAAAGGGTTAACATTAGAAGTAAGGACAGAGCATCTGCAATCCCCAGGAAAATGACATCATCACATGCTCCTCCCTCCCTCCAAAGAAGACTGCTTCAGCTGCATATGATTGGAAACAGGCGGCTGTGACCTGCTGCAAGGCTACATCAACACAGCTGGCCTCGGGGCCATGGATTGAACGAGGGTCCTTCCAGACATGAAGTAGGCACACTAAGAATTCAATCAAACCGTGCAGAAAAAGCAGACTGGAAATATTATGAACAATATCTTCGCATAAACTTGTGAGTAACATGTCTCAAACTTATTGGAATGCCTTCATGGCAAGACTAAGATCAACATTTCCTTCCTTCAGTTTTCCTGATCTTGAAGCAAGGACCACTACATAAACATTCATTCCTTGTGTCTTGAAGTAGACAAACATAAACATGGAACATGACTAGACATGTGCACCTACAGTCAGTCTGACTCAGTCACAGCTACATGAGGGTGGTGCAAGCAGGTGACAAACACTGTGAAGTCTTCCACTGTGTTAAGGGAACAAAACATCCTGCCTCCATCGTCAAGGCAGAAGAAGCTGTCTGTTCCTCCAAAACATTGGTACCAACCCACTAAACTACATTTGTGTCACAGCCAAGATGACCACAATATGAACATATTACTTTTACTAGAAATATGATTGTATAAATAAACAGCACCACATGAAATTACAGATAATGCATAAGAACACAGGCGACTGTGCTGAAACAACAATACACACTTCCTGACTTCTTCATGTCAGGTACTGGTTTGACTACATATCCATTAGAATACTGAACATGTAGATCACATCTGTGTGATTCAATTAAAATTAGCGCTATATTGTCAGCATTTAAATTCAAAGCCACCCTCAACTTCAACTGCAATATTATTTCACATGCATAGTGAACTTCCTTGGCTCTGTGTCACATTACTGCAAAGGCACATGCATAGTACAGCTGCCTAAGAGATGGATTTTTTCAATACTACTATCATTACCCCCCCCCTCCAAAATTTCAATTCTGGCCATCAGCTCAGCAGGGCATGCCTTCAAGGGCTGTTAAAGGAATCTGAGACTTTAAAAGCAACAGGATTACAGAAACTCAAACACAACAGACTAAGAGCACAAAAACAGGACAACCAAACATTACACTGCAATTATCAATAACAGCAGCCACAATGATGCAGAATAATTGTGCGCATGCGCACACACAAACATACAAGACAAAGAGCTGAAGTAATCTGGGCATGTGGACACTGCAGAGTTCACCAACATAAACAGTCAACCCCCTTAAAGACTATTTTTATTTAGGGACATTGTCAGAAGTGCTGCAAACATCCATCATGCAGGAAACAGCCAAACAAATCAAAGTGTGGACTGTGTTGCTGTTTGTTTACAGCCTCCGGATATGCTCAATGCTGACATCTCTCGACTTAAGGAAGGGCAAGGAATCTGTTCCCAAAGGTCACATTTTGTTACTGGCCATGTAAGGCGGTGAGAAGGACTGTCGATCACATAACATGGGCTCCAAGCCATCAGAGGGAGGTGCTCATCACCTTCACGTTCCTAAAGTTTCTTTCACTTTAGAAGATTTCAATCTGTGAGCAGAAAACTCCAACCACAGATGTCAAACTGTGAATGGAAGTCCAGGATCCAACTGGGTCCTAAGACAAGGAATATAAAACTAATCTGTGGAACTATGGTATCTGACAGCATTCCAAAATGTGTCTCCATGACACAAATGTCACCAAAGCCGACTGGTCAATTCAGCCACTTGAAAACTCTTCAAATTCTTGCCACATGGAAAGTTGGAATCAAAATCATGGGTCCAACATACGGACAGCAATACAGCTGTAACACTGTTACACTGCCAAAATTGGTTTCATTCATGCTTGTCATGCACTGTAATGCTAGGAACATCATGCAACCAACACTGTTACAAATTATCAATACAATACTGTGAGTCTGCTCTTTATCATGCATTTATTCCAGTTTAATTTCCCTTCACTAACAACACATTTCCATGACAGCATGATTCACATGTTTGGCCTGGCAGCTTAGCAAGTGGACGCATAAAGTACTTCAGTGAAACCTGACAGCCATCGACTTGGCTTAGCACTGATCATGTGGCAATCACCACTAATGTGAAACCACTGCTAGATTACTGGCTGACTTTTTGGTACAAAGCAGCAAAATTCAAGTAAAACCTTGTATTACTGATAAATACTGTAAAAATGTCATTTAAAATTAAGCCTAGAAACGCAATCACACATAACTAGATGGGAAATATGGATGTATTCACATATCTTGATGAACTTTTGTTAATCTACTAAAGCATTGCTACAGAGAAGCATTTACTTCACTTTCTCACTGTATAATGCCTCTGGCTTACCTATCATTATTTAAAGATATTCCTTCTGGATTGTGAATGCATGATAATTATTATAAAACTCAGAACATAAGCAAGCCCACTTAATACACAGAGAAGTAATATAAAGGAACAAAATTCTGTTTCACAACCAATGAATGGCAATAAGGTAAGACAGACTTGCGCCTGCAAATCATAATACACTTCCCTCAACACAAGGAGCACACAGTGAATGCTAGACATTCGTTTCAAATTACATTATGGCAACAATATCTGAAATGAGCTGCAGTTCTTAACTGTAGCATGAATTTGAACTAACCTGGGAGAAAATATTTTGTTACACGGGAAAGTCTCCAGTACCCATCTCACAATATTTAAACACCCAGTATAATTATCGTCCATCACATGTTCACTTTCTGAACAGAACATTCTTTCCGTTACCCCGCTGAGCAAGTTCTGCTGGCACAGGCTAGCTACCCATGCCAGCAGGACTCTCTCTCTCTTCAGTTTTCCTGCACTCAATTGCTGCAGTCAGAATATTATTCATAGTCAAGAGCTTAACTCTTTGTGAATCAATATAAAATGAAACATTATCAATGTACAAGAATTGAATAAAATTAGAGACATTTCAGCACATCATCAGTTTGACACTTCACTGTACTTCTCACAGCAAGATCGTGACATGCCCTCCCCCCCTTACTCGCCTCCTCAACACAGCCTACAGCAGCAACTACAGCACCTAAAACTCAGATCACGGGTCCAAGATATATATATATATTCTACAGTTCAATGGGCGCATTGCCATAACTAACCTCTTGTAACAAATCCTGGGCTGCAATTGCCTTCAAGACGTTTTTCTTACTTGTCTCCTGGATCTCTCCCCCAAGCAACAGTTCATCCAAGATGAAGTATGCTTTCTCAAAGTTGAAGATGATATCGAGCTCACACACCTGGAGGAAGATTACGGAGATTGTTAATCTGATTCTACAGGCAAATTCAGAAGTCCCGAGTGACTGTCTTCCTTCAATCAGTTATGCCACTTGAGGCCCAAATATTCATGGTGCAACGTGTTCTAACTACAAATGAGTTCACCATGAGAAATTAATCTGCATCCTTACACGTGAATAACCCTGTATCTCAATCTACTTGCAGACATCTCACGCAACTTACAATAGTCACTTCCACTTGACAAATTTACTGGTGAGACTGTTGGATTTCCAGCCATGAAGAATTCAAAACTATACTTTCTTCATCCAAAAGAAAACACAGAAGATATATGAAGTTTATGCATACTCACATATTAACAGGTGAACCAAATATTTTTTTCTCAACTTCTGTGATTTTCACAGGGTTTCCTCAGCGAATAAACAGACTCAGAACAAGAAAAACTATATTTCAGTTTCTGACAACCAACAGTGTTTGTTTCCAAAATGGCACCAAAGGGATCCTTGCTGGATCAACAGAGGAACACCAGTGATTGGTTGTCAAATGCTTCAAACCTGTGTCCCCTAGAGCCCTCGGTCTTGCATGTGCACAAACTACCCCAAAAAATTGATGGAGGCTTCTCTGACATTCTTAGTGCAGATGAACCAGGGATGCCCCTAACATTACTCAGATCACCTGTTAATATGTATTGTTATGGTCTGGCATGTCATGTGGCAGAAGGAGACAGGCAGGCAAGCACCATCATTCCATCCAGTCAGCTTGCATCAGGAATGCAGCCACAGCCACAATTACAAATCCCAAACAGTAAGAGCCACATCTTACATCAGAACACACTCCCAGGCACAGAAGAGATTCATTTTATTTTCTGTTACTGCACAAACACTCATTCAAGTTGTGCTAAAGCATTCATGTTTCTCAAGGTGCAGACACCTCTGACTCCAAGATCTCTGCCGAGAGGCCAAGCAAAATTCTGCTGTACAGTGATAAGTCACAAACTTCATTGGACACTGTGTGCACTATTTATGCAACAATGCAAACATCAGCTCACTATTGCAATAATGCTTAATCACAAGCATTCACAGTTTGACAAAACAGTGTAAAGCAGAGCTAATAAAAAAAATATTTCTTGCCTTGAACTAACTTCTGTACACATTTTTCACCAGTGCTATTTTAATGGATACTTACACTACCAAAATATTTGTCTAGCAGCTCAACATAACGATGAATAATTTCGAGGGTCAACAGTTCATTGTCCTTTTGTTCAATAGCACAACAGAAATAGAGACTGGCATATCTGAAAAATAACAAAGAGCATAACATTAACAGAGGAGTGAGATCTGAGGTTCTCACAGCAGCAGCATCAGGATTACAGTCTTCTGGCATGTGACACCAAGTAGTCTGGCCGGCAGACAAAATTATGCAGTGTCACACCCCAGGAAACTGTAATCCTATGTGATGAAAGACAATATGATGAATATGTCCTTGTTCCTAAGCACCAGACAATATAGAAATGCACTTACTGCACTAAACCACAGCCATGGAAAGAATATGTATGAATTACATCCTTCCATGTCTCCTTCCATTCCAGCAAATTTTCCTGCATTCGCTTGCAGTCATCTAGCCCCTCAGTTCAAACAGATGTCAGCAGTGACAACCTTTGCTAGCAACAAGTGCTTCAGCCTGGTTGATATATGCCATAGTGGGTCAGGGAGAAATACAACAATATCCAGAGACGGGGAAACCTCAGACTCCATTCACCTTACTACAGATGGGGCAAAGAGGTGAAGGACAAGCTCAGCTCAGATTCATGATAAACAAACATTACCTTTTATAAACCACTTTCAGGTCTTTCCATTCAAGGAAACTGCTCATTTTCGGTTTCCTGGCCAAAATTGTAGTAATTAATTCTCTTGTGATTTTCTTCTTAAGTTTGTCTGGATGGGCCACATACCATTTCTGGAGACGCAACTTGCCTTGTCGGCTAAACAGCAACATGAACTGCATCTGTAAAGCAATGACAGATTCTTCAGAAATGAGACAGAACAACTGAACTCGAAACACAACTCTCATGAACCTACACATTTCATTTGGGCTGGCTGTTTACATCCGAAAATCATTATCAAGGACAGGTGCACAACAATACGAGTAAGTCCGGAACACACAAACACAGGCCAGAGACTATGCCTATATGGGGACAAACAGATCCTTAACATGGAAGAGTATACCACAATATGGGCCAAGATACTAATAAGACAATCAATGGAAGAAAATGGTCAGGGATCTCCACAATCAATAATGAAAACATTTATATTATTGTGCATGTGGTCATACACAGTACTTGGAGATACACACCATACAAAAACTTCAAGGGTCACTTTAAACATTAATAATAGAAGATTTTTTTAAGAAAACAGGATTTATAAAATATTACATGTGACATTTTTAAAACTAAATACAATCCATTTTTGACAATGCATCAGATTATTATTTAGTATAATTATAATTTAGAATCTGAAATACTTTACATAATTGTGAATAATTCATGCATTTGAAAAGAAACCTAGAATTGAAACACACTGGGCCGAATTAGATGACTGATTCATAAATGCTGTAACTGGATGGTTAAAAAAATTGGTCAATCAAATTATTATGCCACAATCGGATGGTATGAAATCTGAAGAAATGGAGCAATATTATGATGCCCAACATATATTTAATGCTATAAATCTGAGGTACTGATGGCATCATTAAATAAACCATAAACATAATATTTTCCTCTGTGTCCTGTTCTCTAACACGCTCATGGGTCACTCTTACATTATGGATGAACTTTTACATTGAATTAAACATAAAAAAGACACCATATAGTGGGTCCAGTTTTTAATTTACAGCAGTATCCAACTTTAAAAGATTCATTAAAATTGACATAAATTATTTAAAATACTTAATACATAAAAAAGCTCTTGACATTATTAAATTATCGGGGCACATGGTAGGAGTTTATTGAGGCTGCTGCTTAGGTCAACAACCTCACCACCATCTGTGACCTGACTGTCTAGAAATTGTGGGAGTCTTGGCATCTCACAACCCTATGGGCCTCCATGTCCCATTACAGGTACAGCTTTACCTTTTTACCTTTACATTAAACTATCATGATACATGCAGCCAACTAAGTGTAAAAAGGCAAAACCTGTATGGCATAATGTGGGAGTAGAGATGTACAGCATCAACATCAACACACACACACACATTACTTATGACGAGTATGACCCATGGCAGGATCAAATGGACTTCAAACAAGACGTCATTAATTAACACACATATATTTTACTTTTTACGCCTCAATGGCTGCTTACATCATAACAGTTTCAATCAAAGTGAATACTGAAATAATTAATAATGTAAAGCTAAATTTTATAATTTATTAGATGCCCCTCAATATGGCTATGAAACATGTCGGGCTCTGTAACCCATTCATTAATTAAAAGGTGGATGCTCTACTAAATGGTGCTTTTTGTGCTGAACTCTCATCTACGTTCTGTATTTTCAAAACAGAACTATAAATAATTATAAGCGATAAATGCGCCACAATGCTGCAAAAATTACATTCATCGGAATTAATCACAAAGACAATTTCACATTCTTCCATGTCCTACCTTCCTGCTAGATTATCTTTACATCAACTGACAATACAGTATTCCCTTCATCTTCGAAACCTTCACAACNTCTATACTGTTGTACCTATCAATGTTATAATTATTGAATATTTTATTGTCTAGACCAGGTTGCACATTGCAATGTCAGTTTGGCTGTGACGAGTTCAATATCCAGTCCGGTTTCCGGACAAAGGATCTGTGAAACCATGTAGCTATGTTATGTTATGTTATGTTATGAGTATGACCCATGGCAGGATCAAATGGACTTCAAACAAGACATGATTAATTAACACACATATATTTTACTTTTTAGGCCTCAATGGCTGCTTACATCATAACAGTTTCAATCAAAGTGAATACTGAAATAATTAATAATGTAAAGCTAAATTTTATAATTTATTAGATGCCCCTCAATATGGCTATGAAACATGTCGGGCTCTGTAACCCATTCATTAATTAAAAGGTGGATGCTCTACTAAATGGTGCTTTTTGTGCTGAACTCTCATCTACGTTCTGTATTTTCAAAACAGAACTATAAATAATTATAAGCGATAAATGCGCCACAATGCTGCAAAAATTACATTCATCGGAATTAATCACAAAGACAATTTCACATTCTTTCATGTCCTACCTTCCTGCAAGATTATCTTCACATCAATGACAATACAGTACTCCCTTCATCTTCGAAACCTTCACAACTTCAATAATTCAATAACAACCCTAATTACAAAACCCTATAGCTTTCACACATACCACACCCTAACTCCTCGCTCTTGCTATCTTGCTATTGCCAACACCTAAGGCTCAGACGGCTCAGACCGCTCAGACCACTCAAGCACGGAGTATCCACCACGGATCACTACAAATTTGTTACATAACACAGTAAAATTTCCGATGCTCCTACAAACGGCAGGCGTTCCATGGTTTAATATGAGACATCCAATTTATAGTTTTATCGATGGTTACCAGAGGGCATCCGTCGGAACCAGTAACATTTAACGCGGCAAAACAATTATGGGAAGGTTTGCATGCTCAGTTGCTCAGTTACCAGGAAGGTAACTTTCTCAGTTATTCGGCGATTTTCAATTGTTCATTTTATTTACGTTCCGTAAATCCGGATACTGGTAGACGCCTTAGGATATGGA